TGTTAAATGTATATTTCCGACAATTATCTCTCATAGCGAGAAATTTATCGATGCAAGACCATCAATTATTCTTCATCGAGGTAATCCCTTTGAAACGATCGCGCTCACGTGTACACGCGCACGCACACGCACGGCTATGCGTAACGTCGAGTAGAAAATATCACCTCGACCCGAAACTCGTTATGCGCAACTTCGTTATATCGCGCGGCTCCTATATCATCCCTCCGTCATGTCGCGTGATATCACGTTAGATGCCTTCGTTGGCGGCAATTGCGCGGGCCGGACTCGCTCTGAGGTGGGAGATCGATGCGGGTTATAAATGAGAGCCCGTGCCGCACCGATCGCCGGCGTATATGTTTTGGCGGTGTCAGCACTGCTCGCAACGTGACGAATTGTGCGCATCCATCGCGACGCGCGTTCCGCGAGACAATCCCGCGGCGTCGCGACGCTGTCACACGCATGTCGCGCCGTCGTTACGTATAATTATTCACGCGGCTACGTCTCCAAGATCTGGAACGCGGCAGATTAGATTCTGTCTATCAATTTCATCCGGCGATGTAACCCAACCGCCCGCGCGCGGTATCCCCCGCGGGTTGCCGCTCTCCGTCGGCATTAGCCAACAATATCCCCGGCTCGGTCCGTACCATGATTAAGACCATTATTTGTCATCCGTTGCGTGCTCGATGTGCTAATTTTGATCTATCATTTAGCCCGCTTAATTCGATGACGGCCTTTCATCTCGCGTTAATCCGCTTCGCGTTTCGCGCTTTTGAACGGCCGCGATACACTCTGATCGCCATGCACTTCGGATGAATAATGATATCAATACGTGACTTGACAGTTTTGTATCACCGCGACGTCGGCTTAACGCAAATTAATGTCAATTTTAACGAACTGTGTAGAAAATTAATTATTGTTCTCTCTCTCTTTTTCTTCTGCTTTTTCTTCCTGTTTTCGCAAATACGTTAAAAATGTATACCAACGATCGTATTTTAATAAACTAATCTTAATTATTACGAAAGTTAATCGTGGTATCCAAAATAATACATCTGTGTAGCAGAGCAAAATAAAATTGGAAAGCATTTTCACATAAAGGAAATTATTCTCAATCAATATGTTTATTGAAATGCTATATTTATAACCGACGATTCAGTTAGAAGCACTGCGATGAGTAAAGTCTCGCTGAGGAGATTAGTAAGATTAGAAGATTAACAGTAACAACTGTTACCATGACCCACGCAGTGTCCAAAAGATATCTGAAAGATACTGAAAAGAGACTGAAAGATATCCTACCTTTTTTATGTCTTAAGCTCCCGTTTCTAAGACGTATTTTAGACATTTGTACTGTTTGGTATGATGTAGTTAGTATAGTTTGCAAACATAGACAGTGTCATTGTACGCAAATTGTATGGAAGTTAATACTATCACTTCGAACACAGATTTCAGATAGTTGGATTTTATATAGCGTACATAAAGAAAAAATATTTTCCTCTGCTAAATAAATAAATTATTCGATTTACTTTCTTTTTCTTTTAAGTAATGGTTCTCTTTTTTACAAAAAATATTTTTTTTATAATAGTTTTAAACTTGATTTTTTAAGCTATCGCGGTGTCCATGCATATTAGATTTGGTTTCTGGGTTTGAGTCGCGTGGATTCATCAGTTTTAAACTTATGATGAATTTGAGAGAACCTCATTATTATATACGCAAAAAAAGAATGTATTCTCTTTATAAAAATATTATAAGACTTTATTGAAGAAGAAGAGTTTGACTGTATGTAAAAAATAAATAGAATTTTTGTTTAATAATATTTTTGATTAAATATATTTAATTTAATATTCTTGATTAAAATGCTAAACTTACTAGAATCCAAAATGTATTTTGAATATAAATTTAGTGCTTATGAAATTTATGAAATTTATAAATATTACTTGAATCAAGTAATATTTATTTGAATGCAGTATATATTTTTCTGTGTGCAAGTAATGAATTTGTGTACTACAGATTTTGCAATTAAATTTTATTTCCATTGGAAAAATCATTGAGAAACATGACAAAACAGTAAGTGGAAATGTGTACACTGAAAATCAGTGATTACTCACAGATCATCGGTGAAATACTTCTTTCACGGATTTAATCAAAAATATTTTTACTGTTGATTCACTTGAATAAAGTACGTACGTAATTTTAGTGCGTCACGTAAAAATTGCCATTCGGCTTATTCGTACTCCAGCCCTTGCTTCCGATAGAGCAAGATATGTCGTTATGCGTCAAACGCGGTGAACAGAAAGGGCACTCGATACGAGGTCAATCGCTTCGGACGAGGACCCATTTCGGTTGGATGTACACGCACGAACCCACACACGTACACATTTCGCGATGCTGTGCATGCGCAGTGTACATTGTTACGTGCGATTATTCACGAAGATGCATTCAGACCGGAGAACGGGCGGACCGGATCTCGTACGTTAGGTCTGACTGCTTGTCCCGGCTGGCAAACCGAGGGCGAGATTACGACGGTGTCCGCCTTCCTCCTTGCCTCTGTCGCGTTGCTTACTGTCGGAAACACGGGGCTTCCCGCGAAGATGTCACTGTCCGAATATCCGCGCCGGTATGTACCGAGAACCACTTCCGCCGGAATAGCAGCGCACGTTCGAAAGTTGGCGAGGAGCACGGCGCGGCGCGCCGCTCATCCGGAAATCTCGCAACGTCATACTTTCGTACAAACACATTTCCCGGTCGCGGCATCTGTCGGTGTCCGATATCGCCGGGATCCACGAGTCGGACGGAATAATCCTCCACGCGATATTATCGTCAGTTTGTGCCAAAATTCTATCACGTTTCACATGCGTCATACTACGGATAGCCTTGTTAGACTGCCGAGATAATACTTTCTCTCTCTCTCTCTCTCTCTGCTTTCCTCTCTCTATCCTCCCCTCTCTATCCTCCCCTCTCTTTCTTTCTCTCTCTGCTATCCTCTCTCTATCCTCCCCTCTCTTTCTCTCTCTCTCTCTCTCTCTCTCTCTCTCTCTCTCTCTCTGCCTCTCTCTTTCTCTCTCTCTCTCTCTCTCTGTCTGTCTTCCTCTCAAAAAGATAATTATATATTTCTTGAAAGAGGGAAATAGGTAAACGTTCGAAAATTCTATTAACATTGACGAAGGAATGAACAAAGCGATATAATTGATCGAGTAGATGTGTAAAATAGTTTAAACACTTTTTTGTTGTTCTAACAATTAATAAATAAATGTAAAATTAACATAACAAAATCATGAGGAAATGTAAGTTGAAAAGATAAGATGTATATCACATCAATTTTACAGGTTTATTGATGGTTGGAATAAAGTGTGTTTGGGCTATTTTATATATGTGCCCGATCGATTGCAAGTATCATTTTATGATATATCTTTCTATTTCAACATATTTTGAAAGAATTATGTATTTTCTTACTTATGACGTCATTAGTCGAGAGTTTTCCACGGGGAAGAGCCAGAAATCTTAAGAAGGCAAATTACTTTTTCAAGTCAAGAAAGCAATAATATTTATTTAATTTATTTAAAGAAAACTATGTTTGCACGATTTACATTTGTACAATAGTCCAGTCAAAAAATTGAAAACATTTTTTATAAAATATTGTTGTAGCTATAGTCTCTTGGGCCGGAATTTTTATTTTCAAACAATTTAATATTTTAGCTTATTAGAAAAAATTAAATTTTTCTTTATTAAAATCCGTTTCTTTGATTTAAAAAAGACTAAAGTGTAATTCCTTGACTACAACATTATTTTGTAAGAAAATTTTTTGGTTTTTTTATTAGATTGTTGTACAAACGTAAATTGTGCAAATTAGAAAGGCTCGCAAGAATTGCAAACAATTATCTGATTGCTATGATTTTATGCGGAATTTCCGCACAAAAGATAATTCTAAATAAAATTTGTTATATAAATATATTATTTACATAAAAAACATGTAATTACATATATACAATTCAAATGTATAATTAATACATATTATATTTTTCTTTATATTTTCCTCTAAATAAAGTCTTGAGTACTGCAACTTTGTTTCACCTGAAAAAATAATTTGCTTCCTCAATATCCCCCTCATTCGTCAGACGCGGCTATTATTGAACATCCACATGAAACAAGAACGTCGATATAGCAGCGTATATTCGGGACGAAGTGCATTGTGACATGTGCTTGTATTAAGATTGCTGTTTGCACCGACCTAACGCTATTTTCTCGACCAGGTCGTATCCTGCAGGAATGACGGGCATGTCGCTCGCTCGCACACACGTGTATAGCTACGCACGCGGATGCAGCAGGTGCGCGCGGCGGCTTATGTAGACGCCCGCATTTATTACGTCGCGAAGCGAGGCGGGGTGTGGCAGAATCTCCGTTCGCCCCGGGTTTCGTGAACTAGAAACTCCCTGTGCCCGCGGAAGTTCGAAGCGAGGTCGTAAAGAATCTGGGCGCACTCGTCGCGCCGTTTCTCCCGCTCGTGGTTACCACAGATCGACCTCGACACAGATTCCACCCGTGTTATCGTGTCGAGGAAACCACCGCGAATCTCGCCGTAGAAACCCGCTCGATTCTCACTGTCGCGTCTTATTTTGGTATGTGCCGTGGTTTTGTGCCGTCATACTTTTGTTCTTTAGCGATTTTTATCGGTTGGCAGATGTAATGAGGACAGGCAAACTTAAGGCCAAATCACACTAGCAATTGACGATTGACGATTGAAGATTAGATTTTGACGAATCAACGAGCTTCAACCTTGGCTTGCTTTGTTCCAATTGGTCAAGTTCCAATCTTCAATCGTCAATCGCTAGTGTGATTTGATCTTTAGTCGATTGATATCTAAAGGAAAGACACGCTCGATTGATCAAGGATGCGCGCGGATTCGGCTTGCGTGAATTTATTTTAATAGTCCGCTTCGATATTCTATTTCGACTATACAAGCGGTGAATTTATCTAGCCGTAATAGCAGTTGCTCATTTTTCTTGCAGGTTTACGAGATGTACGTGACGGGTTATCAGTTCAAGGTGCTGTCGCCCGTGTTTACGGTTCACTGGGGACTACAGACCAGGAAAAGCAGGCCCGCGTGGCGCGAGCGTCAGAACAGTGCCAACAGGAAACAATTTGAGACGTTCAAGAAGGAGGTGTTCGCTCGCTACATGCGGGACCCGCTGAAGATGATGAAGAACTCCGTCAACTGACGAAAGCCTCATCGGGGGTCTCGCTGACACTGAGACTCCTCTGTCGTGCTTTATGTTCGTCCTTAGGCTCAACATCGAAAATCCAGAGTAGAATTAGGCCTCTGGCTATGGCTACCATCAGTGGCTGTCACCACGTAACGTAGTTGATAGATTTAGAATGTATTTCTCGTGATCGCGAAACACATCAACGAACAACTCGTCGTACAACGTATGTTCTTGAGTTACCATTTTATAGCGATACGAATGTAATGTACGGAATTTTATTTTTAGATAGATTTTCACATTTCCTTCTTCAATTTCCTTCGACTCTCTTCAGCACAATTTGCAAAATCGTTTGACATTTTTTTCAATCGTCATTTGCCAATTGTATCAAAAAACATCCCCGGAAATTCTACATAGTAATACGTTTATACGCAGCACGAGAGGGAATCTGACGAAAAGAATGGTCGCGAAAGATTTTATCCTCTGAGCAGAAACAACAGCGGAGCGCCGTTCATGTCAGTGACGGAATGTCCCGGTATGCTCCGGAGAGTAGATGCCAGATCGAGCAACTGTGATCGACAGATTTTCGCTACTTATCGAGCCTTTTGGTTCATCGATTCCGTCGAGCGGAACCTACCGCGGGGCGCTTGTTACTTCCACTCACGATTCCCCAAAGTCATCAGAGACCGCCATGCGGGATCACGGAATAAATATCTCCTTGTGAGTTTCGCGGCACGTATTCGTCAACGAGCGGGGAAACGAGGGCGGGAGGGGGATCTTAAGTGAGTGTACCTCGTTAGCTGTCTGGGACTTAAGAGGGTGGCGTTTAAATCGATACTGCGTTTGACACTAACATACAGTGGATCAGTAGACATGAAAGTGGCCAAAAGTTGATTCCGGAGATAAGATCGGACAAATGTCTTGTGATCTTTATAAGTTAAACCAATTATTTTTAAAGTTTCATTGAATTCGATACTTTCCATTTGACAACAATGAAAAACATATATGGATGCAGCGATTCCATTTTTCAAATATTTTATTAGTATTATTGTATTTCAGCAAAAATGCAAAATTTGTTGCTTTTCATCCATCATTTTACTTGAATAAATCATTGTAATAGTGCACAAAGTACAAAAATAAAGAAAAGAGGAAATGGCGGACTGTTATACTCATACATTATAGAATTTTAATGTTTTAACCATATTTCGGAAATACTATTTCCTTATATTCCACTACTTATGAAAAATATATTATTTGCAAATGTAACGATATCTACTATATTTTTAGTAGTTACAATGATCTGGTAAAAAAAGTCCTAGATGCAATTAATCAATATTTATAAACGGCAACAAGATGCAATAATAAATACTTTGGAAGTGTTATTTTTTCGTAAAAAGATTAAGGTTATTTTTACTTTCTTAAGAGGTTAACTTTCCGTTTGCAATCATATTTTTACTACCCCGTCGAGAATCTTTTACATTTATCTCAATATTTCTCGTGCTTTTAAAAAATCAGAGCTTTTAAGAAATCAGAGTTATTTTTCAACATCTCCACTTTTTAACTCAAATGTTAAAATTTTTATTTAATAACAACTGAAATTTGAGTAAAAATAACGAAAAATAAAAATTAAAAATATAAATTAAAAATTAAAAATTAAAAAGCTCTGATTAAATAAAAATTTCTTTAAAAATATATAACAGCAGTAAATGAATATTAAAACAAGTTGCAGAATTTTATCATAGATTATGATCTTCAGATAAAAGAGTTGCAATAAATATGGAAATAGATACAATATTTATGGAAAATAATATCATGTATTGTCTGAGTAAATTTTATAATGCTTTATCGAATTATGACCGGAATTATGATGTATATTATAGTTCAGTTATATAGTTCATATAGTTCAATTATAGAAAACAAATATACAATGCATAGATTATATTTTGCACATTTCGAAGCATTAGTAAGACTCACCAGAACACATATATGACAGTCAATCAATTTACTGCTTTATAGCAACAGGGAAAATTTTATCAATTATTTGGTCTTAACCTTCTACCTGAACTTGTTGCACTACTTCAAAAAATATACATACTAAATCAGGCATGTAAGGCGAACGTACAAGATTTTCAAGCTTCAGTGTGCGTACATTTATTGAACTAGTGTTACCAGTTCCGTTGAAAAGAACAGATCAATTGTGCCCTTTTTCCAGAGTTGTACGCTCATTGGATATCAAGGCCCGTCTACATAAGACGTAGAACACAGAACACACTCGCACGCGAGGCGCGACATGCAATGAACGTACTACTATTCTGGTAAAGATATAACTTGAATTGTATAAATTAATATACCTACTTGATATATCAAATATATATTCTACTAGAACATATATAAAATTTACTATTAACGTATTCTATATATTCCTTGAATATACTTGTGGTATACTATGGGATATTCTCAATATATACTGAAAAAACAAACAGCTTTTAAATATATTTTATACATTCTTAGTAGATCATAGTACGAATCTGGAACATTTAGGGGATATATACAATCTACTTTTATAATATTCTCCGAACATTCTCAGAATATATCTATGCCATTAGGGTAGTTTAATAATTAAATACCTAGTTTTGTAAGAGGCGAAAAGATTCACTATAAACAAATTCTGAACAACAAAGTTACTGAAAATAATGTGGAGATATGATCTAAAGTCGTATTGCAACTTTCTCGTGGTAGACCTTAGGAACTTCAGTTTTTATAAAAATCATTTACAAATAATTATAATTCTAATAAAATACTTTAATAGAGTTGAATTTTTTAAATAACTTGTAGAGATGAAAATAATTTTTAATTGCAAATTTCTGATTTGTAAAATCAGCGATTTGAAGAACTCATTGATTTTCATCCAAACTCAATAATTTCATGCATTTTTTCGTACACTATGATTGATTCCGCCATTTTGAATTTTATGTTTGAGAATTTTTTAAATGGGATACAGAAATTGCGAACTAAAAAGTTATAAATCAATTATGGCGCATATTGGACTATTTTTTGTAACTTTATATTGAACTTTATATTGACGCCATATTGAATCCGCCATTTTGAATTTCGAAGTTTTAACGTCAAAAATGGAATCAGTGAGACCAGAAACTATATATAAATATAACGTTATTAAATATTTTCATATGTTTAATGAGATATTGAATTTTGGCCACTTTTATCGGTTTTCTATTCCACTGTACGTCATAGCGACCAAAACGTAAGATAATAAATGGAAAGGTATAAGGTAGGATGAATTCGGATCTGATTAAAAAAAAACTTTTCTTTCCGTTGCTGATAGTTGTTTTTAGAGAAATTTGTTCAAAATATTATTAATAATATCCTCTATAAGAATTTAAAAGAGGCAATTTAATCAGTCTTTTGAAAAATAGGAGACAAATTTAATCGTACCCCTAAATTTAATCCATTAGGGGATCAAATTTGGATCAGCGGCGGAATACTTTGGTCTTCAGATATTTGATAGGTAAGAATCTATACAAAAAATGTGTAGTTGGATATCTACTGCATTATTTACAAAACAGAAATATATCAACTCGCATTTGGACACGGGTTTAAATGTGGATCAAAGTTTCAAATCTTTTTAAATTGGTAAGATTTTATTTGAAATTTAAAATAAGGATCTAATTGATAATACAAAGTGAGTCGCTGAAATTATTAGACACAAAAATATAAGATGGGATATAAGACGTCTTTAAAATGTCTTTAAATTGTCTTTAAGACGTCGGGACACAAAACATCTTTAAGCCGCTTATGTATATCTTGATTTTGGACATTGCGTTGTCTGGGCTTTTAAAATATAATAATTCTTTAATAAACCGTTTGAGTTATATTAAAAAAAGATATAACAAGGAACATCCGCAAAGTCTTCGATTTCGATGAAATTTGGCATATTTGTAAAGTAGTGAAAAATAATAAATCTGTATTTTTTATATCCACAAAGGCTTAAGTTTAAGAAGTGAAACCATCCCTCAAAGTTTCATCTCTTTTTTGCTTGGTAACTATTAGAGATACAAAAAAACTTTTTAAATAAAAATAAAAAATTGTAATCTAATTATCTTCATTTATCTGCACATAACGGGTTTGACCAATAATCATATGAAATTTTAATGTATTAGTGAAAGTGGATAGGTTTATTAATGCGCGTGATATGCAGTGAGATTAGCTCTCACTACATAAATAAAATCTAATTAATCTAAAATGTCTTCGACTTGTTGTGACTTATAGACTTACCGCGTAAACGATATCAGTCAATATTTGCTAACAATTTTTAATATCTTTCTAATGATTGTATTTAATATTATTAACTTTTCAACTCTTTTTCCGTTTATTTTTTCAATTAATTTTTATCAATTAATTTTTATTAATTATTATAATATTACTTTATTATTAATATTATGTTGTTGCATTTGTGCGGTAACAATGTAGATATATAATGGTATAAATACTTTAAAATGAGAT